AGCGGTTTTAACCGATTTTGGTAAATATGTGGACATCGAAAAGTGCGTGAGCGAACTCATTTAATGTATATGCTCTAGCAGAAGATGAAAGAAACATTGGTGTACTCCCCTTGATTCTTGACTTACCTGATAATTCACGGTTTTGGAGCGACTTGAATGTCTTCTTAACCACTGATGCAGTGAATAAGCTATTGACACAGATTACATCAGCTAGTCCAGTCGAAAACTCTTCAATCGAGTCGAGGAAATACCTTAATTGAAACTATCATGCTCACCTAAGAGGTAGGCGCTGGAAAGGAGAAAGTAGAGCCCAAGTCGAGCTTTCAGACCCCTTGAAGGCAACATAAGATGAGTGTTTTTTTGCTCGTATCGAAGATGAACTAAATGCTTACCTCCGTCGATCCTGGTGCTTGCCATGTACGAGAAGAATACGTCCGCAGTCGCAGTACCATTCCACTTTTTGCACTCAAAACGTGCACGACAAAGCCCTGGGTGGTACAGGCGCTGTCTTCTGGCTCCGTCCACACTGCACACAACCAGCCACACCCCTAACCATAGCCTAACGTGCTACTTGTAAGCATCCTTTCATTTAACTTCTGGTTGTTCTCTACCTCTAGCTGCATGTTCGCAGCGGAACTTTGCTATCGGAGTAAGTGATACATCTTGCGGATAGCGCGGGTGGAGCCTGGAAGCGCTATTCGTTTACCACTACCCTTCAGCCTCGTTTTCGCACAGCTTCAAGTGACGAAAGTGACACACTTGTAGAGCTGCTAACCCATCATTCTCTCGTGCAAGGCAAGAACCGTCCTACGACGTGAGTGTCAGTTTAAGCAAGTTTTCAAATCTTCGTTCTGTATACCTGTATACCGATTTCAGGAAAGACTCCCTTGTCGTAAGCAACATGTCGGGAAAGTGACAATAAAAAACGAGGCGAGATCGCGTTAAACACCGCAGTACTATTAAAGCCGCTGACACCTTAATAGTTAGGAACCACTGCAAAAGAAGGTTATCAATGATTGCATCAATCTTCTAAACAAGAATACCTGATCACATATGATGACATCGCTTTCGACATATAAAGAGACATAGATAGCAGCAAGACACATCCTAACATAGGCGCATAATGCCCACATACAACCAAAAATCATGCGCGGAAACCACTGGATGACCGTTATATCTGAATTTTCACCTTTTTCTCAGGAGATTTCGCCCATTCGTAAGAAGGTTCAAACCTATGAAAGTACCGTCGTCTCCTACGATGATATATCCCTAATCCCATCACCGTCCGAGACGACTACCTCAAGTAAACCCAATCCCTTACAAAAAATACGTTTCGAGAATCCTCCTCATACGGGTCGAGTGGATCCTCACCAGGTAAGGATTTCCATTCTACCTCACACAACTACAACTGGGTTAATACTTACCATAAACAGTTTATTATCCCTATCGTTCTCTCCTTTTTACTAATAACACCACTGAACCACCCACCACGGAGAAGAATATTATCCTGTCATTAATGCACGAACGTCTGTGCTACCAAGAACTCCATCAATTCTTCCTCCTTTTCATTTTCCAATGTTATTAAAATTGGTTCCACCCCTCACCTCCTTTCCTGAGCGATACGAGACTGTTACAATTGTTTTTTACCTAGCCAGATTTTCGGCAGTATTGCCTTCTTCAGAGCCTCTAGATCGAAGCCAATTTTCAGTCTCTAAAGAAAGCAATATTGCCGAAACGTTGGCCAGATAAACAATCGTAACAATCTCGGATCGCTCATGAAACTTCCCTCGTTATGAACACACTCTTACGTGGTATGTTACACCCACATGTATGACAACAAAAACGATTTAGACTCAAATGTTTTCGGAAATCATTCCAATAAAAAACCCCACACTACCTAGCTCCTTTGTTTCCTTGAATGCATGATTGGGATCGAATTGGCTTGTCACTATCTTCACTTGATGACCTTTATTTTGTAGTGCCACAGCTGCATCCACAACGAGTCGTTCAGCACCACCAATACCCAAGTCAGGGTGAAGAAATGTCACGCGCATAGCAGG